GTTTGCGGCCATTTACTACTGGCCAGCGTGAGAGCCTATAGCTGGCTGCCACGAATAAGCAGGAAGATTCTATTGGCCAGCGTGGGAGCCAACAGCTGACTGACACAAATGTTAACTAGCATGCTAGCATTCAAAGAAATCGATAGCTGCATCCGTCACAAGTGGGAAAAATTTAAATCTTCATGGCACTTTACTCCAGTTGTCTCATTCGCTTGCTTAAACTCAACGTTGATTCTGATTCCGCAGAACTGGGTTGGGTGTGAAAAAGTATTTGTTGTTAACATTGTTTTTTCATTCGGTTTTTCCAGTTACTTTTTTTTTTTAAAGCTGATCGTTTTGTGTTCATTTTCTTTAGTTCTTTTTTCGTAACAGATTTAATGTTTAGTATAGAGCTTAGAAAAAAAACGCAGTAAAAAAGTAAGGCATGTAGCAACATCAGCACGGCAAAGGGCAAGGAAGAGCAAAAATATTTTAAGTTAAGTGATAGCGATTGCTGTATGTGTCGTACGATTTTTGAATCAAGCACGGGCAACGCCGGGTCATGCTGCTAGTTATCACTAAATGCTCGGTCAGTAAATGCCGAAAGTTTCTTGCATACAAAGGCCCAATTTACTGGTTATGCATGCCTTAAGCAAGAACAATAAGAAAACCAAGTATTTGTATGTCTGTTTTAATGAAGGTGTATTCGTATCAAATAATTAAAAAAAATGAATTAACTTCATAAGAAATTGGGAATAATGTTTCTTTTATGATCAATGATATTTGTTTTAAGAAAACATATTTCTCACCTCTGGAGTTGAAATCTTGAAATATGTACTTAATAAAATATCGGAAAACTTTGGGAAGAATATTTTTTGTTCTTCATAGAAAATCATTAATATTGTAGTTTTGTAGTGATCCCAAATGTATGTTCTTCTAATAACAAATAGAAATTTCAGATGAAATAATAACGCATGCAAACCAGTCCTATTGACAATTAATAGAGATGGTATCTATGAGACACTGTCTTATCTCACAGTGTATATATTCATTTATGTATAAGGTAATTAAAATTGCAAGTAGATATATTTTATCTAATCATCTTCAATGTTAATTATCTCATTAACTTGTCGATAACCCAAAGACATATTCAGTGAACGCAAAACCTTTAGCTATAAAAGCGTCGCTAAATTAGTTTCTTAGTCGTAATTGAGTTGGTTGCCGTCTTATTAAAGCTTAGTATTACCGACTTGTATAGAATTGAGGTGTTAAAGGAATACTAAATTTTGCTTCATCTTGTCAAAATTCTGACTTATCCTCTACCTCTATAAGAGCCATGTCAGGCCTAGTACTGTTACCATAAATGGTCAGGACTGCACAGTCTTCACTTTCTGGTTTCGATCGAGTCTAAAAGTGTTTCCGCGTCCTTGTGGTTGATGGATTATTTTTTAACGCACAACCCCTTTCCCCAGAGACGAAACGTCGGAAGCCTCTTACTATTCTATCGCTATTTCCTTGGAAAGTTTTCAAACTAGCTACATTCCTTAGTTCCAGCATTTCCGAGCTTCAAGGTAGGTTTCGCAAAATGTAGCGAACTGCACTTATTACCTTCGTATTCCATTGTTGAGATGTAAGTTCCACTTTAGCAGATTCTTCAACACGAACTGCTACTTTGGAGAAGCGACTGCTAAGAGGATTCTTTCTTGATCACAAAAATCTTAACCTGTTCATGTTTAGACTTAACGGCTATCTTTTCCACATATGCGCATATACTATGCGCCTTACTCTGCAACCATCTATCTCAAGTGGCTCTTGGTTTTGAACAGGGTAAACATCATTGTAAAAAATTATAATATCTAATCTCCTATATATTCCTCCAAAACCAGCCTAGCGAGGGTTGGACTTTAAATGGCAATTAACCAGGGAGAAAAAAAAAATCATGCCCACGAGGTTGGACTCCACCACTGATACTGATACTGCAATACATGTGGCGTCTCTAAGACCTAAAAGGTTTATAGGACTCGTTATTGTGATATGTCGGTGACTGTTGAAAGAAGAGCATAAAACATAAAGTATAACACGGGTGGATTAAAAAATCGGTTCGTGAAGTTGGTGACATAATAATTTGGAGTTGAATTCCTTGGTTGCAGATTGAATATTCAGTTGAAATAGGGCGAGCACTATATGAGAACAAGAAGCAGAATATGTCTGAACATGAACAGCGGACCGAAAAGACTCTAGTCCCGTAGATTAAACGAAGTGTTCAATTCGGAATTCACTGATTCATTCAGATGGACAAAAAATATGAAAATGATAAGAAAGGGAGAATAATCGTTAAAGATGAAAGTAATGTAAATAATGATAACTCCTCATTCAAAAAATCCAGATGAAAGGCCATCAGGTAGTAATAACAACAAAGATGAGGAAAATAGTCCGCAATATAAATGATGTAAATAATGATAACTCCTCATTCCAGAAATCCAGATGAAAGGCCATCAGGTGGTAATAACAACAAAGATGAGGAAAACAGTCCGCAAATATAAATGATGTAAATAATGATAACTCCTCATTCCAGAAATCCAGATGAAAGGCCATCAGGTGGTAATAACAACAAAGATGAGGAAAACAGTCCATAATATAAATGATGTAAATAATGATAACTCCTCATTCCAGAAATCCAGATGAAAGGCCATCAGGTGGTAATAACAACAAAGATGAGGAAAACAGTCCGCAATATAAATGATGTAAATAATGATAACTCCTCATTCCAGAAATCCAGATGAAAGGCCATCAGGTGGTAATAACAACAAAGATGAGGAAAACAGTCCGCAATATAAAGGATGTAAATAATGATAACTCCTCATTCCAGAAATCCAGATGAAAGGCCATCAGGTGGTAATAACAACAAAGATGAGGAAAACAGTCCGCAATATAAAGGATGTAAATAATGATAACTCCTCATTCCAGAAATCCAGATGAAAAGGCCATCAGGTGGTAATAACAACAAAGATGAGGAAAACAGTCCGCAATATAAAGGATGTAAATAATGATAAACTCCAGATGAAAGGCCTCATTCCAAAGAAAAAGTCCAGATGAAAGGCCATCAGGTGGCCATAATAACAACAAAGATGAGGAAAACAGTCCGCAATATAAATGATGTAAATAATGATAACTCCTCATTCCAGAAATCCAGATGAAAGGCCATCAGGTGGTAATAACAACAAAGATGAGGAAAACAGTCCGCAATATAAATGATGTAAATAATGATAACTCCTCATTCCAGAAATCCAGATGAAAGGCCATCAGGTGGTAATAACAACAAAAGATAAGGAAAACAGTCCGCAATATAAATGATGTAAATAATGATAACTCCTCATTCCAGAAATCCAGATGAAAGGCCATCAGGTGGTAATAACAACAAAGATGAGGAAAACAGTCCGCAATATAAATGATGTAAATAATGATAACTCCTCATTCCAGAAATCCAGATGAAAGGCCATCAGGTGGTAATAACAACAAAGATGAGGAAAACAGTCCGCAATATAAATGATGTAAATAATGATAACTCCTCATTCCAGAAATCCAGATTAAAAAGGCCATCAGGTGGTAATAACAACAAAGATGAGGAAAACAGTCCGCAATATAAATGATGTAAATAATGATAACTCCTCATTCCAGAAATCCAGATGAAAGGCCATCAGGTGGTAATAACAACAAAGATGAGGAAAACAGTCCGCAATATAAATGATGTAAATAATGATAACTCCTCATTCCAGAAATCCAGATGAAAGGCCATCAGGATGGTCCGCAATAAAAATGTAAATAATGATGAGGAAAATAGTCCGAAAAATATAAATGATGTAAATAATGATAACTCCTCATTCCAGAAATCCAGATTAAAGGCCATCAGGTGGTAATAACAACAAAAGATGAGGAAAACAGTCCGCAATATAAATGATGTAAATAATGATAACTCCTCATTCAGAAATCCAGATTAAAGGCCATCAGGTGGTAATAACAACAAAGATGAGGAAAACAGTCCGCAATATAAATGATGTAAATAATGATAACTCCTCATTCAGAAATCCAGATGAAAGGCCATCAGGTGGTAATAACAACAAAGATGAGGAAAACAGTCCGCAATATAAATGATGTAAATAATGATAACTCCTCATTCCAGAAATCCAGATTAAAAGGCCATCAGGTGGTAATAACAACAAAGATGAGGAAAACAGTCCGCAATATAAATGATGTAAATAATGATAACTCCTCATTCCAGAAATCCAGATGAAAGGCCATCAGGTGGTAATAACAACAAAGATGAGGAAAACAGTCCGCAATATAAATGATGTAAATAATGATAACTCCTCATTCCAGAAATCCAGATTAAAGGCCATCAGGTGGTAATAACAACAAAGATGAGGAAAACAGTCCGCAATATAAATGATGTAAATAATGATAACTCCTCATTCCAGAAATCCAGATGAAAGGCCATCAGGTGGTAATAACAACAAAGATGAGGAAAATAGTCCGCAATATAAATGATGTAAATAATGATAACTCCTCATTCCAGAAATCCAGATTAAAGGCCATCAGGTGGTAATAACAACAAAGATGAGGAAAACAGTCCGCAATATAAATGATGTAAATAATGATAACTCCTCATTCCAGAAATCCAGATTAAAGGCCATCAGGTGGTAATAA